ATCACACCCATGGAGATAGAAAATGAAAACACACTTCCAACAAACACCATTTGAACACGAAACAAAGAAGAAGAAATCATAGATGATAATATTACACCCATGGAGATTACCACGGTGAGTTCATCTTAGCATACCCTAATCATATAACAAAAACAAATTTATTAAAAACATTTTGGCAAACTTAACTGGACGCAGGAAGTGCATAACTCAGAAGAAAATGATAATATCAAATTAAGTTACATGGCACCAAGAAGGAACCCGAGCCTATCATCGCCACAAGAGAAAATAAATTCAATGATTTTGACACCAAACTTAATACCCAGCACAAAACCCCAAGAATCTGAAACCAAGAGAAGCGCAGTAGTAGTAGTAGTACAAGCTCCGAGTCTAGCAATGGCGAAGGCAACGCTCCTCGGATTCTTTACTGCAAAAAGGTTCCCCCAACGGTAACACCACGGTAAGAAAATCTTTTTTTAACCGCTCTTTTTTCCACTCTCTGTCCTTCAAGACAACAGTCTGTAGTTTAAGCGTGCTTAGGCAAAAATAGTATCAGGTTGAATGACCCTTTACAAGTCCTCATGTGTTTTGGTTTTTTCTTTTACTTCTGATACAGAAGAAAAACGTCATATGGCTCAAGAAACTGTTGTTCCTGCTCATGGGTGGAACCCTCATCTCCAACAGGTTCACTCTCGTCCTCGTTCTCGTTGTGTGCTTACTTATGACTCGAGCTGCTTCAGGACTGAGAATTGTGTGAACAAATTCTCGATTTCTGATTTCTACTTTATAGTCTTACTATGTTACAGAGTTGCTTTTCGTGCGGAGGTCAATTTTGGAATAAATCAAAATCATGTTGTGCGTGTATTGGAGGGGCAATTTTCTAGCAAACATGACTAAGGTATATGGTTATCAGTTATCACATCTACAGCTTCATCTTCGTATAAATTTTGTGTCCATGCTGTTTAGCTAATACATTATTTATTTTACAGAACATTGTGCTCCTTGTATCTTCTGTACAAGATGGTCATTGTTTGTTTTTACGTTCTCTTATATGTTTTGAAATTGAGAGAGAAATATACTATGATTGTTTTTTATCATTTGTACACTATTGATTGGTGTGTGTACAGTTTAAGTTTTTTCTGAACATGAGAGAGTAATATATCCACGGATCTTTTATTATTGGTACACATTGACGAAAAGGTATTGTTGTCATTTACCAGATGTCAAAGTCTCACGGTCCATGGGCGAAAGCCATGACCTAAAGTTGTTAGCAATGGACATTAAGTTCAGGTAAATTACCATTTTACCTATATCTCCTTCGTCACCCACCTCTTCAATAAACCAAAAAATAAACCACTCTACCGAAAACATATTAACACTGTTTAATAGCAGAAACAAACACACTTTTTACTTTCAGCCATGTTTGTATAATCTACACAAAACTACTTAACAACCAACGATTAAACAAACAAACTAGAATGTAAATTTCACGACACACAAAACAAATTCAAAACACACACCACAAACTCAAACACACTGTATACAATTACATTTCCGAAACATTATTTACCTCGGTTTTTTTCATGATCCAAGTCTTGCTGATGATTTTCTTCTACAGGCTGCACCACGTTTTGTTTCCTTTTCTCCTTAAGAACAACTTGTCTAGGCATAACTTCTAATAAAAACGAACCTCCGTTCCATACTGTCGCCGAAACTTTAAGCATTTGAAAGCAAGATGCAATTCATAGACAAAAAGATAGGCACAGTAAGAGCCATCGTTGCCACCGTAAAAAGCGCTTGCAGTAAAATATACATAAACATAAAATACGGTTTTGGTCCCCAAGCAAACCACTTAACTCCCACACACAGTTGTTCGCTTTCTGTGCCTTTTTCGAAAGCTCCCTATAATAATCATACCAGATACCAAATCAAAATCAGCATCTAAAGTCTTAATATAACAATATCGTAAGATATAGGGGAGTCCAAGAATGTCTCTCCAAAAGAGCCCTTACGGAGAAACTCCAACATATAGTCCACTTATACAACCGTGTTGCCACTGATGTGGCTTGTTGCACTGTTAGTGATAACAAAATAAGAGAATGTTGTGTACTTTACTGACCTGTAAGAGGTCATGACTTCAGGGTCCCTTAACAAACCTCTGACGACGAAGGACATTGACACTATCAGAAAGTACAACGCCTGCCAGAGACTGTAGGCAATTAAGGGGACAGTAAACAGCCATGTCCACAGGAATGATTTGTTTCCCACATAAGGCCATGAAGCTCTCATTGCAGTTTCCTTCAGGATGCATAGCTTCAAAAAAAGCCGGGTCCCACCATCGTATAGTAAAAAACACCACCCCTGTAAAAAAAAAATGGGTAATAAATTAATGACTTTCATCATGGTGTTTTAAGTTGATCCAGAATTTATTAGGACAGTATGTAATAAGTAACAACTCACCTGGTAAAAGATGTATAGGGACGCTTACGAGTTTGTCCACAGAACTAAACACTAAGCTACAACGCCAACGATCAATGCCCATGCTAGTGGCCCTACAAAATAGGGATTATTAAGATGATAATGATGAATGGATTATTATTGAAAAGAAAATGAAAATAAAAGAATATAAAATAGTTACCTCCGCCTCCGCAAACGAGAAGCAAACCATGAAAAGTTTTTCATTTTTGGGATAAAATAAAAGCATGATCAAGAATATGGTGTTGGCATAATAGCAGAAATCCTGCATATTGTCAAGGGTTTAAGTCTTGTGTGAGAATTTCAATTCCAATGCCAGCCACTTACGGCCTGATTTACATAATATGGGGCAGCGTGGTTCCAAGGATGTTGGAAAAATAAATAAATGGGAAATTAAAGATTTAGTATGAATGTACTTTGGTTGTTGGAATTTACCAGAAGGTAATTCCCATTTTTATATCGATAGTAAATCCATCGAAGTGGAAAAAGGTGACATAGATCAAACAGTAGACGTATCGGATATCTTGTGGCCCTAAAACAAACAAAACATCAATGGATTTAACGACAAATCATCATCAATATACATTTTTAATTTCCAAAAACTAAATTAAAAGCACATCCATGGCATGTTACTCACTTGCACCCAAAATAAAGCAAAATCCCCCGAAGCCAAAAGACACCCATAAAAAGGAGTAACCTACAATAAACACATCCAAGATTAATGTTAACCCCATGCTAATATGAAAAAGTAAAAACCCTAAAATTAGTCAAACTTTCAGTTGTGATGTGAGTTATGAAGCTTCAAAATGCATATATTCGTATAAATTTTGTGTAACGAATTGAACAAAGTATGTTTCGTGTGGGTGTGTTACTTACAAGTTACAAGAGAGCTTATGTAGCTTATTACTCACAGTTTGATTAAACTTTAATGATGTATATTAGTTTTGAACTTGATAATCAACCAATTTACATCATAAAGCAATTCTATCGACTAACTCTTTTAATAAATCAATGTATCTATCTATCAATCCATACAACATAATATATATTTACCTTAGTGATAAAACTTTCATGTTCTTCAGCCTGTTGAGCGATCTTAACAGCTTGTTTTGACAAGATCTCCTTCGTTTTCTCTTTCGTTTGAGCAACTTTCTAAAACCAACCCAACAATTCCCAATTCAAAACTTCGAAATACTGTGTAAACAATCAACAAAAAACAAACAAAATGGAACTCGAAATCATACCCTGGATCGATCTTTTAACCTCTGCTTCACTCCTTGAAACCGATGCCATTCGATTGATAATCATCCGCCTCTTCAGTGCTCGACATGTTTTCTTTTCTTTCTTTGTTTTGTTTGAAGTCTTATTATAATGATTGTACTCTTTTAAATCCTTTTCAGCTTTTGATTGAGAAGTGTCTGGAGAGATCGAATAATAATAGATAAAGAAATGGGCGGTGGGGTTGGGATTTGAGAAGAAACGAAGGCGGTGTGGGACGCTTGCTTTGAATAAAAGGTATGCTTCTCACTAGGTTATTGATTACAATAAGACTTCAATTTTTTCCGATTGTCTGCTAATCGATTGTGTGATAAAAGGGTTTGAGAATTACAGAAATGGGTATCGTTTTGATTGAAGAGGTTTATGTCTTTTTGTAGTTTGCTTAATTTGAAACTGTGGACACGTAAAGACCTTCTCATCACAGAATTTTGCTTGCTCAACTTATCCTACCTTAATTTTTTAATTTAAATAATGTAGACTTTCTCTATGAGAGGATGTGTTTTTTTCATTTTAAATACACATTTTATTATTTAAATACAAAAGTTAGAATATATTGTTTATCTTATGACAAAAAAATGTTTGCCACAATTTATAAAGCAAAGCTACTATTTTGTGTTCAAATATGTATATAAATAGAAAAATGTCTTAGAGAAACAATTTTTTTGTATGGTATAACACCATTCAATTTCTTTTCTTTTTATTATTTAATATAACATTTAACTTGTTAAAGTGATAAAAAAAACAATATTTATATTGGATTAATAGGTTGGTACTTATTTGATACTTTTTTATTTGTTTTTTTTTTAATATGTGTTGATGTGGTAAGTAGGTTACACATGTCTTAAAATCTTCTTATCTTCTTATTATAATATAAAACATAGTTTTTAGGGACACATGTCCAAAAAATATCATCTTCTAATTGCAATTCTCGTTCAACCTATCGTCGGACCTCTATGTCTCCAAAATTATTTTCGTTATTTTGATAGTGGTGGTCCTTAAACCAACAATAATCTCTAATATATCATCAAAAATCATAATAAATCAATAGACAAATCATATACAACTTGAATTTGGTTGACTAGGACTTCATCTACTTCATATATACCTTAAACGTAAAAAGCAATAGATCATCTCCACACCACCTTTCTCTTTGACTCTTCTCCACGATTCATAGTAGGCGACCCCACCATCATCGGTCATCGGATTCGAACCTTCGAAACGCAGACCATATCATGTTGTAGTTATAATTTCAATCTTGATTCCATTTTTCTAACATAAAAATAACGCATAATCTTATCTTGCTTCAAGGTTTGCATGTTTATTAGTGGAGAAAATTTGAGCATCTTGGGTTCCTCAATCCTCATGTACGTTGGTGAAAAAGGATTTGAGAGACTTCCCTTGAACCAAAACACCCCTTTTTTTTGGCAAATCATATCTCGATATCCCAGCTACTCTTATTTCTGAATCTCGATTTCATGATGGATTTTTACGCCAAATCTATGGATGCTCTGATTAATATGTAAAACAAGCATCTGAATTAATTTGTGTATTCTCCAAATATATTTAGTATTATATTTTCCATGTATATTTCAACTTACTTGTGTATAATTCTCAATGTAGTTCAACTTGTGTATTCTCTATGTATATTCAACTTAAGTGTTCAATTCATATTCAACTTGTATATCAGTTCATATTTAATTTTATGTATCAAACTCAATTATTCATAATTATATTTTTACCGGCTTATATTAACTTGGTTGTCAGGTTGACTTCAATATATGTACGAAAAAATCAAGAAGAATGTAATAGTAAAAAAATATGATAAGTTTAGGAGACAGAAATTCTTGATGATGATTAATATAAATCTATAAAAAAAATGTTGAACATAAATTAATATAAAATTATGATATTTTTTCTTCGAAATGTTGAATACAAATTACTAATTGAATATATTAGTTTTCGTTAAATTGTTCATATAAAATTTAATGGATGAATTATAAATTTGTTTAATTATAAACCTCATGAATATATTTCAAAAAATGAAATCAGAATAAGAAATTCGTTTCCATAGTTATAGGGATATCATTAATGTAGGTAACTACTTAGATTAACTAAAAAAAACTTATGGTTCATTTTAAAATGATTGGCATAACTAATTATCCATTTCACACTATAAATATTTATTGTAACGACTTTTCTCATCTAATTATATAGGGATTATCAGAGTTTACTAACAAATGCAGAATTCTTTTAACTCAAAATCATTTTACATCCTAAGCTAATATCGGGTTTACAATAAAATAATAAACATAAATTAAGGCAACAAGTATACTAAAAATAAAACTACTTCTAGTCTAAGTCCTTCTGGGTATCTTCTCACATACAACGGCTGCTGCTAACATTTGAAAACCTGTAAAAACATGGAAAATATTTAAAACATTAGATCACAGGTCTAGTGATAGTATTCTATCTTTTTTCATGCTATCATGCTCTTCTTCTTATCTTTCTTTCTGTACATATTCTAAAATCATTTTACCTTCTTTCTCACACTCGGTAAATTTAATCTCTCTTTCTTATAGTTTACTCAACTATTATTTCTCTCCCTATACTCTCCTATTCTTTCTCGCCTACTTATATCATACTCTTTCTTAGCCTCTTCTCAGGCTCACCTAATACTTTGCTCATACTTTATCCTCACATCTTATCATCTCATCTCGCATCCTTCTAAAGCTCTATTTTCACTATCTATACCTCTCCTCATACCCTTCACATTTCATCTTTTTTTCTGTCCTTAATCTTATCTCATCTTTCCTCTTTGCAATTCTCATACTTTATGCATTGTAACGCCCACAAATTTGGGTTGGTCAATTTAGAGACAATAAGCGTTAAAAATAAATTTTTGATAGAAGATTACTTAGAATAAATAATTTTAACCAAAGTATAGTATATGTCACAAGGATTCCATACATATAAAGAACGTTGAAATCCAATTTATAACGAAGAAGTTATGACCCATCGAAATTTTGCGACAAAACCGGCACAACGACGTGTATCGTAAAAAGTAATTTTTTGATAAGCTACGTTTAGCCTTAGAGATCTAAACGAAAGTCGTTGAGATATGTTAAACGAGATGTACATAAAAGAAAATCAAAATCATCCAAATCTTCGTTGAGAAAATTTGATTTTTCTAAGATTTGGCACAATAGTATGCAGCCCGGAAATCGAATTTTTGATCGATCGATTTTTAGCCGACACAACCTAAATGAGAATTGAATATATCATTAATAGGAGCTCAACGATTAAAGAAGTCGAAAACGGACGTCGGATGACAAAGTTATGAACTTTTAACGGACTTTAACTGTCTAAGTCTGTTAAAATATAACTTTAAAAATAAAGTCAAAATTAGCCAACGGAGTCTAAACGAAAGTTGTATATCACGTCGCTACCTACATGTGGATATAAAGAACGTCAAAAACAGAGCTCGTATGAAAAAGTTACGGATTGTAGAAGATAATTAGTTTTTTGAGTAATCTGTGAGTAACACGTGGCACCATCTCAACAAACAGCTTCTTCCCACGCCTTGCCACTAGATGGTGACACTTGGCACCTTAACACGACGTGTTGGGGCTCATAACACGCCGTGTTGGTTAGTTCCCAGCCTATAAATAGAGGCGCAAATCAACCCATTTCTTCACACATTCTCTCAACTTCTCTCCCAAACCTCCCCAAAGCCTCAAGGCTTTTCTCTAGTCCTCCTTAGGAGTTAGTAGCGAGTCCCGGAGTGCCAGAAGGCTCCGAGAAGAAGAGCATTCGGCTTAGAAGTTCTTCCCGCGCAGAGCCTCGTTCCTCGCTAAACCCCATTGTAAGCGAGTTATGCTTACCCTACTTTAAGTATAACTTATGTTTAAGTTCATTATCGTTATTATGAACCTATAAAAAAGATTTATCGGTGATTCCAATTCGTTATACTGATTGATCTACTTACGGGGATGATGTCTAGGCTGTGATTTAGTGAGGTGTTTAAAGTGGGACTTCCAAAAATATACTGCGTATACCAAACGGACCCTACATCCATATGATCCTACCTGGTTGTTCCTTACTTGATAGATCATGGAAGTAGACTTGAGTTAATGATGAATCTAGACTAATAATTAGTCGCAATAAATATTAGACTAAAAAACTTAGCGATAATGATAGTTTCGTCGAAGGAAAAGACGATTGTTAGAAGTGAAGCACTGCCCAAATTTCGAGTCATCACTTTAACAGGTGAGTGCATAGTCCCTTTCATGAACATGATTTTAATACAAGTATTAATTAAAGTATTAAATATATGTTTATGTGTGAAATATTTGATATTGCTGAAATACGTGTTAAGAGCATATCTGATAATGATGATTTGGAATAAACCTACATTAATTAAGATGATGTCGGGTAGAATCTACTTACGAGTACGGGTATGATATACACGGAGGGTAGAACTTTAAAATGTTCATTAATCTGAGAGCATGGATTAGACATAGTCATTCGTCCTTTAGTCGGAGAGTATGGAGGAGGGAGAGCATAGTCATTTATCCGAGAGCATGGATTAGACATAGTCATTCGTCCCTAGCCGAGAGTATGGATAGGGCATAGTCATTATCCGAGAGCATGGATTAGACATAGTAATTCGTCCCTAGTCTGAGATTATGGAGTGGTGGGTATTAGTCGTTTGTTCTGAGAGCATGGATTAGACATACATGATCGACGGGGTGGGGTAAAATTGTTTATATGAGGTGATATTGTATATTGTAAGTTCTAATATATATATATATATATATATATATATATATATATATATATATATCTGATATAACATTGTGTGGATTTAAATCCCTATGTACTCACAAGGTTTCCCAACCTGACCCACTCAGTTTATTTGTATCACAGGTGTCGATACGAAGATACATTACACTGAGAGATTAAAGGAGATGTAAATCATTAGTGTAAATGAATGTAAGGTCTATTTATGCTTATGTTTCTATATTGACGATGACATCCCAATATTTTAATATAAACAAAATACATTTCTTCGGAAATGCTTTGATAATATATTTATCATGTTTTCTGGGAACAAATTCCGCAATATTATTCTTTAAAAATGGATACTCTTATTTTTAAATAAGCATAAATAAAATTTTTGAATGATCGTGAATTAGGGGATGTCACAGTTGGTATCAGAGCATTAGTTTAAGCGAACCAGGAATTTGTAGGAAATTTCTAGACTTAAACTTAGAATGTTAAGCGATGATTGTGAGATGAGTGTCTGCTATATTTAGGATGTATGCCTGAATAGACACGAGCACTAGCTTATTTAGGGGAGATGCCTAATTGCTTTTATGTGTTAAATGATATACGTTATAATATGCCTTATATGCTCTATGATGTTATCGTTTGATCGGGTTTATGGTCTGTTGCCGACCAGATCTGGAAACTTTATGTGTTCAGATTCTAAACGTTTAATTACGGTATTAGAACTGACATGTAACTTTTCGAAATGATAAGGAGATTTATACGTCTATCGTAAATAAAGCTTTCCATATCTTAAGTCTCGTCACTACACACCGGACGTCTGATTTGGTGTATAGATCGACATGGTGAGAACTCGAAGCGGATTGGGAAACGGTAACCATTAGCCTGAGCCACGAGTGATTGAGCGTGCACCAGAGGTAGCAGCTGCACCCGAGCCAATTGATGGGTTTCGAGCAATACATCATTCCTATGGTGTACATGCAAACCCTAATAGCTTATGGATCTAGTTTGTCTAATGAACATGCAATTGAATATCCAAAGCTATAAACCCTAGATCTATCAAATAAGAACTGAAATAAGGGTTTAGTAATTACCTTTGATTGTTATATAGCAATAACAATCAATCCTTGCTTTGATTGGCTTCAGAAAGCTTAGTGCCTCAAGTGTTGCACCTCTAATGGAGTCACAAACACCACTAAGCAACTTGGATGAAGAGGGAGGAGAGAGGAGGGCACCAAAAACGGCTGGAAACCCTAAAGGATTACTTGTCCACGTTTTGGGCTTAAGGGTCCTTTATATACATGTAGGCTATTAGGGTTTACAACTAGGAAACCCTAATTTGGCTGCTTAAGCCCTAAGCAGCCCATGGACTCCTTTAACATATCTCTTGGACGAATTCCTTATGGGCTTCC